CTTGACCCTGCTGGCCAATTGCCGTCAGCCGCTCCAAGAAGCGGCCACGGCCACTCCTGGAAGTAGCTGCGATTGACTGCAGGGGACCCTCCCCCAGGCATCAAGACTGGTTGCAGGGGGGGCACATGCCCCTCCAGACTAAGGCGGCACCAGTCACCCATGGTCTATTTGAATGCCCACTTTATGGAAATGGGAGACTCCTCCCTAGCTTGTTCCTGCGGCTGTACAGTTGAGGGCAAACGAAACTCGAGGGCATCTGAACCCCAAGCCTCCGGGCGTGGGCCTGCACGTAGGATACCCACCAAAGGATTTGGAAACATCTGCAGCCCCTGGTGGGGGTGGAGGACGCTTGCCGGTAGTAGGGCCACTTATGGTCCTTGACTGACTCATGGATTTGGAATTGATTTGGCTGATTTGGCTTGGGACACTAAAAAATTCCTTGCAAAAAAGATGGATCTATTTGAAGTCAAAGCAAGTAGAAGCTGCCTCCCCTGAGGCTGCCTCGATACGTGGCAGGCCCTTGGCTAATTCCCGTATCCAGAACTACTGCATACTCCCAGGGACCAAGCATGAAACTGAACTGATTGAGCTGTTCCCCCCCCCAACAGCAGCCAGATCTTTTGGGTAATTTAGGGGCCCCATTAAGGACTCAATTAGCCGCTAGATGTCACTGCAACTTCACTCAAGGAATTTGACCCGGCTAAAGAGACATCATCCATTTATAATTCAATCTTATGGGAAGATCAACACTTATCATCTACTTCTATTTACTACGGTAACAAGGAACAGTGGATAGCTCCAGTCCTGTAAAGATTTATGCACATTCTTCACTTAACACCTGTTGGTCAAATATCTGAAGCATTTGCAGTGTGTTGTCTTGATAGTAAGGATAAGCGTATAGTTTATAAAGGTGTACTAGATGTTAGAAGTGTGCTAGTACTACGGATTGTATGCATTACAGACTGGCATTAAGCTCATCAGTAGAAAGGGTTATAGCTGAACTACTCACAAGCAATCCATTACAATTGGTTAAATGCTAATTATAGTATCCACTTAAACTTTTAAATGGTTTCTTAGGTAACTCGCCACCATATGGTGGCCTCCATTATCAAGCATACAACCCACAGTGAACCAGGCAGCAGGTTTAAAACAAACGCTGGGAAGCACTTTCTTACACAAGGCATGATGAACCTGGGGGAAGCATTGCCGCAAGATCTGGGGGAAGCCAATGGTATCACCAGCCAGGTCAGAACTGAGCTCAGACTGACGCTGGAGGATGGATCTGTCAGGGGCTATGAAGCCCAAGGGACAGAGAGCTGGTACACTTCTGGGGCTGGGAGGGTAGGACGGGGTGAATCATTCTACCCTGGTTCATAAACTCTTCTTTTAAAGCATCTGTTATTTGCCAGTGTTGGAGACCGGGCCTTGGGCTCGCTGGTCTGGTGCTCTTCCGGTTTCGTTCACCCCCTGCGGCAGGATGGCGTACAGAAAGCTGTGCAGAGCATAGTTTAGCGCAGGATTGAAGATGCCCCCACTACAGCACATGCTCTCCTCTTCTCTCAGCCCCACCAAGCAGGGATGCTGCCCGGCAGCGATTCCTCAGGGTTTAACACATAAACCTGCGGTACAAAAGACTCGCTGTCTCAGCTGGACCGTCCTGCTTTCTCCTAAGAGCGTGGGGGTAGCTCCATCCAGGGAATGCAGATTGCCACTCACGTGGCCTTCCAGACTGCGTCCTGGAGAGGGGACCGGACCTGGAGCCGTGCCCCCTGTCCGGAGGAAGAGAGGGCCCAGGCTCAGCCGTCAGAAAGGGCTGTTTCTTGGCCAAGCTGCTTTCTTCCTCCCTTCCGGCCTGGGCTGGGAGAGGATCTCAGACTAGGGAGATGTGATGCCCAGCTCAGGCAGAGCAAGAACCAGCCTAGATCTAGACCAGGACGTCTGCTCCCTCCGTTTTGCCAGGCAGGGACGGCTCCCCCGACACGGGGTGCAACACAGGCGCATGGATCACTGGCTGGCAGCCAGGCCAGCATCCGGACTGGGGCTACCAAAGGGGGGGGGGGGGGCGCGCACTGGGGTCTAGTGCAGCCGCTGCCAGGCCACACGGCAGCAAGTGCCACGAGGCTTGTGCTCCCGCCTGGCATCTGCGCCCGGTGCAACACCTTGACAGCCGGCGGGGGGCAAGGGCTCTGCCCATTTCCCAGCTGGAACAATGGAGGCAGCTTCCCTTTGAGGGAAGGTACCACCCTGGCATTCTCTGGATCTCCCCAAATCACTGCCCGCGATGTGCCTGCAGCAGTTTGGGCACCGCGCCCACATCGCTGGGGGGCAATACGGGGGGGTGGGGGGGGTCGTCCTCCTCCCCCACCCACCCCGGCATCTTTGCAGCCCCCAGCCCGCGGGGCCTGGGCTGCAGCAGCGGGAGGACACTGAGGAGAGTCCGGCGAACGGGATGACCGGCACGGTGGGGCTGCGGCTACCGGGGGGTTTGCAACCGATCCGGGCCGTTTGCACTAGAGCCGGGCCTGGGCTTGCAAGGAGGGGTAGCGGCAGCAAAGCCGCGCCAGCTGCGTGCATCCCCGCACTTCCCTGCATTGCACCCCCTTTGCATTGTATTGCGTTGTACCCCCCC